AGTCCCGCCTTAAGCATGAAAGCCGGCTGGGTGACTTTGGGCCAATCACCAGGAGATGGAGAGTTCTAGTCCCGCCTTAAGACATGAAAGCCAGATAAGTGACTTTGGGCCAATCACCAGGAGACGGAGAGTTCTAGTCCCGCCTTAGGCATGAAAGCCGACTGGCTGACTTTGGGCCAATCACCAGGAGACGGTGAGTTCTAGTCCCGCCTTAGACGTGAAAGCCGGCTGAGTGACTTGGAGCCAATCACCAGGCGACTGTGAGTTGTAGTCTTGACCCAATGGGAGTTTCCAGCTACTCTTCAAGGGCAGCCCCCTGCAGAGCGCACGGCAGTAGTCAAGCCGGGAGGGGAGTAGAGCGTGGGCGAGGGCGAGGAAGGATCCGAATTCAAATTCCGAGGCGGAGGACCTACCCGGACCTCCTTGTAGAGGCGGAGGGAGTGGTTGTTGAGGATGAAGTATCGGTCGTGGAAGCCGGTGCTGAGTCCCAACCCGAGGACGTTCTTCTCCTCCCGGAACTTCATCAAGCCGTGTTTGCTGTCGCCCACCTTGCTGGCTGGGGGGGGGAGGAGGAAGAGGGGCGTGGAGGAGACGGGGGGGGCTATTTGGGGCGCCCCTAGAGGGAGGGGAGGCAGGGCCAGAGAGGCAGCCCAGGGACCCTCTTCTGAAAGGCCTTCGGGAAGACCAGGGGAGGAGGGCCCGCTGGGGGGGAGGGGTCCTGTGAGACTCCCCCCCTCCCTGTCCTCCCCACTCCACTCCAGGGGGAGCCACATCCACCCTGAGCGTCTTCCGGCAGCAGTCCAGCGCCCCAGGCAGGAGAGCAGCAGGGGGGGGCAGCCCCAGGGCCTCCCAATGAGGGTTAGCATCATTTGCTGCTTCAAGGTAGACTGCTCCTATACCCAGAGGTTCCACCAGGCTGACAGACGGGGCTTCCTAACCCCACATTGTCCCACTGGGGAAGCCACCAGCTGCTATTGGAGCAATGCCAGTCACTGGCAAGGGGGCAGTCAGGGCTGGGGGGGGGGTCTTCTCCTCCCTACTCTTTCCTCCCTTCTGCCTCCCTCCCTCCTTTTTTTCCTTCCTTCCTTCCTTCCTTCCCACTCTCTTCCTCCCTCCCTCCCTCCTTTCCTTCCTTCCTTCCTTCCCACTCTCTTCCTTCCTCCCTTTCTTCCTTCCTTCCTTCCCTTTCTCTCTCCCTGTCCCTCCGTCCTTCCTTCCTTCCTTCCC